GAAATAAGGAAGAGTAAGTCCTAGGACTTCCTTGGTGGTCCAGAGGGCTAAGATTTTGTGTTCCCAATGCAGGGAGCCTGGATTTGATCGCTGGTCAAGGAATTTAATCCCATAAATTGGAACTCTATTTCCCACATGCTGCAAGCAGAGATCCTGCATATGACAACTAAGACCCAGTGCAGCCAAAGAAATAAAAATAAATAAATCTTAAAGAAAAATCGAGTAAGGCCCACCCTCTGAAACTTCCCGGGGGCCTGGCTTCTTGGGCAGACATCTTATCTCACCTCTGGTGAGTCAACCAAAATTCAAGCTTGACTTCTAAGTCAAGCCCCAAAAGAAGCTCTTGCTTCTAGTTAGCCTAAAAATTGGACCTTAGCCTTCTTACTAGCTCTCATCTCATTCCTCATCCCTCACCCATCCTGAGTCTTGCCCAGTTTCAGTCCAGCATTTGCTAAACCAGCACATGAAAAAGTCAGGTCTTTGCTTACTTTTGTGGCAAATGTTCCACTTCTGTTTCTTCTGTATTCCTTTCCTTTCCTTTTCTTTCTTTGTTTCCTTAGATGGGTCAAGTGAAGACTGGAGAACTGATTCAGACAGGAGAAGAGAAAAGATTTCAGAGGAACATTTTAAGGGTGGGTATAGTCTCATTGGGGACTTCCCTGGTGGCGCAGAGGTTAAAGCATCTGCCTGCAATGTGGGAGACCTGGGTTCAATCCCTGGGTCGGGAAGATCCCCTGGAGAAGGAAATGGCAACCCACTCCAGTATTCTTGCCTGGAGAATCCCATGGACGGAGGAGCCTGGTAGGCTACAGTCCACGGGGTCGCAAAGAGTCGGACACAACTGAGCGACATATTCTCCTATTCTATAGTCTCATTATCTACTGATAGAAGCTAAATTCAGCAGAAGACTGAATGTCTTGGAGTGTGCAGGTGATGCTTATCCATTTCTGCAAATTTGCAGATGACTAAGAATTTAAGGTTGTTGTCAAATCTTAGATAAAAAAAAAAAAAATAAACAAGTCAGTATAAGTAACAGGACAACCCCAAATGTGGGGAAACTTGCATCCATCCAGGTTCTGGATAAAGAAAGAAACTTAAGGCAAGGGTAATCAAAATAAAACTACCTGTGTGGTCTATAGACCCTTAAGTTTTACTGGCCTCTATGGCTGTCCCTGGAGTAGGAAATGGCAACCCACTCTAGTATTCTTGCCTGGAGAAAATCCCATGAGGAGCTTGGCGGGCTTCAGTCCATAGGGTCGCCAAGAGTCAGACACAACTGAGCATGATATAACAAGAATGGCTATCATCTTTCCAGCCCCCAGCCACAGACTCAAACTGGAAATACCAGCGTCATTCATGATTCAAAATTCACTTCCTCTGTTCAGGTGCCTAAACCCCTGAATAGAAAATTGAGTGAGAATGAGGCTTTAATCAGCATTCTTTCCTTAACTCTTAAAGATATTGAAGAATTTGCTGCTAAAGCAAATAAAAATCCCTAGACTGTATGGCTAAAGTTGTTCTTGATGATAGGATAGCCCTTGATTATCTGTTAGCTGAACACAGAGGTAACCATCTGTGCTGTGATCGACAGTTACTACATTTCTGGAGAAGTTGAGACCAAGCTACATAAAGTCACTAAGCAAGCCTCTTGGTTTAAATAAGTGACTCCTTCAGCAGACTTTTTCTCTGATCTGCTTGATTTAAGTTGTTTTGGGTCATAGGGACCATGCCTTCAGAGTGCCCTCCAATCACAGGGTATTATTCTGCATATAGTCTTTCTAATCATCTTTCTGGTTTGCTGTCTTCTCTCAAAAGCTTTACATGCATGCATGCAGTTGCTGATGACCAGACAAATGATCTCCCTTTGCCTAGAATGCCAAAAATGGGATGAAGAAAGTCAGCTCAGAGAACAAGACTTTGATATTCCAACCTTTTTTTTTTTTTGCATTTGGAGATTCAACCTGACTCCAACATCAACAAGTGGTAGCTCAGAGTGGCACTAATACCTTAAACTTTGACTACACTGAGAAAATTGATCAAAAGGGGGAATTGATAAAGTTAATTTGAATATTGGCACCCATAAAATGGAGGCCAACTCAGTGGCCCAGCCCATGTCACAAATCTAAACTTAACGTCAGCCTGCACTTATGGAAAACCCCTGTCAATGAAATCGAGTATATATCTATCATAATCCTCCAACCCAGCTTTAGCTAGCTTAACTTACCCTAGAAAACAGAACTTCCAGGCTTTCTAAGGAAATCCCTGATCTCCTAGTTAATCATGCCATGTTTCTATATCACCTCTTTCTAACTCTCTATAAAACTCCCTCTTGTCACAGATTCCTAGAGAGCAGTACTCCTCTGCTTATGAGGCACAGTACTCCATGATTCATGGATTGTTTTCTCTTGAATAAAGGACATCAAACTCTTTACTGAAAAAAAAAAGTATAAGCAACAGGGTATAAACAACTAAAAAAGTTTGGTTTATCATTGAACTCAGAATATATGCTTTCACATGTTGCCACAATTCTAAGTGCTCATGTGAAACTACATTAACAATTTGTACTTAGTAGGTTTGGGCCTGGTAGGTTGCTGCTTTTTATATTTCTGAAGTTTACAATATAGTACCAAGATTTTTTAGAGGAACACTTAAGAAATAAAAAAAATAATAACTTGTGAATTTACCTGTCTATTTAATGCCAGAAAAACTAGGTGAAATTGAGAAATTCAGTTAACGCATACACATATTGATCCATAGTTATATTCAGTTAATCCATACATATATTGATCCATAGTTATATTCAGTATTATTCTAGACGAGATGTAAGAGAAATCCCACCCTTGAGCAATGTGTGGTCAGGGAACACACTGCTCTGTGACAGCTGGCTTGGTGGGTCTTCATCCCAACCTTTCTAACTGCAGTTGTCAGGATCTGCACATGTTTTATGCCCTCTCTAAGCCTCAGTTTCTTCATCCATAAAATGGGATAATGTTAATATTTACTGTCTATATTTAAGAAGATTAAATAAAATGCTAATGTCTATAAATTTCTGAGAATAATGCCTGGAATGCAGTGAACTCAAAAACTATTACATACCAACTAGTTGGGAAGTGAAGACTAGAAGTCATTCGTTTTATGTCAAAATAAGTTAACATTTAGAACAGACATACTTGGAAGTTTGCCTACGTTTTCATCTTTTCTTTTTGGTCAAAGAGTTGAAACCAGATGGGATATTGTACGATTACAAGCCTACAAATTTTCCTGTTTCTTTTAATTTGATACCTAATTTGGGAATATGTGGGGAAAAGAAACCAAAGAATATTCCTCTGAGTGATACCTGAAAACAAGAGTTACAGATTAGGGTTTTCAGAATAAACAACAAAACCAAAGCCCTGGCTATCTACACAGAAAGTGTTCTTTAAGGCTTGACAGGATTCTTTGACCTTTGTTTTATGAAACATGGACAATCTTACATTTGATTGGTGAATTTTCTGCTGGCTTTTTTTTTCTTCTTAAACCATGTTCCCTGCCTGCAAAGCTAAACCTATTTATGGTGAGCACTGTTTTTTCAATTAGGTTTATTTTCATTTTCCCATAGGCCAAGTTAGCTGAGAATGTCCCAAAGTTTATTTTCCTTTCCTTTACTTTGTATAATGGTTTTTAAAATTAAAATATACAGCACTTCTATCGATTTTTTAAAAAAATACTGTCTAATTTTTTTTCTTTTTTGCACATTTAATGCTTCGTCATGAGACGTATTATTCAAAATGCTTTTCACTATTCAAAAATGCTTCTCAAGAGTGTAATGGTGGCCCATTTTTGTGGTCAGCTCTTAGAGAGCAAGGATCAAGTCCATTCCGCCAACTTTGTGAAATGTCTCGTACAAGCTGGTGCTCAGCAGAGTACTTAAGAAAGCTGATGTGTTTGTGACTTGGCTTTTCCCCAAACTTTTCAGCTGGATGTCAGCATTCCATCCAGACTGTCAATTTCTCAAGCTTAATACTGGCAAGACATCCTTTCCAAGAGACCCCTCCTTTTGGGGGTGTGGGTGGGGGTGGGATGGGAGAAAAGGACTCTAAGCTCCGCATCAACTTTCTAATAGTTTTGTAACACTATTCTCTGGTGAGAACCCTGGGTGAGAGCGAGTCTTAGCTAAGAACTTTGCTTTCGGGAGAGCGCTTCAGGTTCACAGCCCTTAGGGAAGAGGGTTTGCTCATCCCTGGAAAACTGCGGGCGGCTCTGGGGCCCGGGAGCTGCGGGCGGCTCTCGGGGGCTGGGAATGTCAGCGCAGCTGGAGAGGGGCCCTCTAGCCTCGGGGGAAGGGGAGAGTCCTCTTTCGCTCCCGGGGCGCTCCCTGCGGGCTGGGGTGGGCGGACCCCCGGCTCCCAGAGCTCCTCCCCGCGCGGCCTCCAGCCCGCCGGCCGCGGTCTCCGCCCGCGCCCGCGCTCGGTCGCCGGCTCCCGCCCAGAGGCGCGGGGGCAGGAATTCGGCCGCCGAGCTCCCCGGGGCACCGCGCCCTGGAGGGCTGGGCCGCGCCCTCCTCCCCGGCTCCTTCCCCCCCCGCCCCCCCCCCCCGAGCTCCCCTCCTCCCGGCCTCCCCCTCCCAGCGCTCTCCCCTCCCCATTCCGGCCGCTCCGGACTCCTCCCGTTCCCCTCCTCCCCGCACTCCTCCCTGCCCTTCACCCACGCTCCCTCTCCCTTCCTTCTTTTCTCGCCTGGGCCCTTCTTCCTGCTCCCCTCTCCTCCCCGCTCCCCTCCTCTCTTCCTCCAGATCCCCATCCTCGCCCATTCCCCACCCTCCCCTCTTCCTCCTCCGCTCCCCCCGCGCGCGCCTTCTCCGGGCTCTCTCCCTCCGCCCCCCCCCCCCCCGCCACTTTCCTCCTCGGTTCCTCCCTGGACCCCCTCCCCTCTCCGCTCCTCCCCCCTTATTTCTCTCCTCTGCTCCCCGCCTTCCTCCCGGGCTCCTCTTTCCCGGTTCGCGGAGCTCCCACGCGGTTGCTATGGAGGCGCCCGCGGCTGCTAGCCGCCCGCCGGGAGCTGCCCTGGGGCCCCGGGGACAGAGTGGTGACTCTGCCCGAGGCAGTGGCGCCTCGCCCCCTTGGGGCCCGGGAACAAAGCGCGTCCTCCCCCATCTCGGGAGTGCGCTGCGAGACCTTCAGGCGCCCCGGACCCGGAGGGCGAATCTGCTGGCCCCCAACCTCTGGGGATCGGACCCCAGGGGTCGGGGTGACAGCTGCGTGCTACCGAGCTACCTTTTGGCCCCCCGAAGATCACTCCCGCGCTCCCCATCCCTACCCCCCATCCCGGAGGTGTCTCTGAGGCCGGGGGACGACCAGATGGCCCCATTTAAAAGGATCGTCCCCTTTTGTTGGGGGGCCGAAGCAGCGCCCAGGCCAATTTACATAGGAAAATGGGGTTTGTGTCCCCAATTCAGGGCGGTGCCCCGACAGCTGGTGGTTCTGTCATCGTGTCAGAACCCCACAGCGTGATGTTTAAACTGACTTGATGTGTGCAGATGTTTGCCTGTAAATAGCAATTGATTGAGAACCGGTAGCTATTAGGTCAGGCTTGGAGAAACTCAGTTCACAGAGGAAATTTTTATCAGCCTGGGCACAACGTAAGATGGTAGAATGGAATTATCCTGCTGAAGACAGGATGCTCTCTTAGAGAACTTACACTTTATCAAAATCCAAAAAGCCCAGTAGTTGAACCTGAAGAGAATTTTGAAATCCTTACTGTTCATTTTGGTTGTTCCTTGTCAAAGTTGTAAGGTTGAACATAAAGAGGTGAGGAGGACTGCTAGGACTTCAAAATGATCCATGAAAGATCTAATCTAATTCATTTTATTAAAATAACTCAGCCAGCTGCTATAGCCTGTAGCAGACTGAAAGTTGTCGCTAGTTTGAAATCAGTAGTTTAAACATGTATATGTAAATGACAGACTGTTTAGAACAGAGGACCTTCAATTCTTATTTTACCAGTAAGGAATTTGAATCTCAGAGAGGTTAAGTGATTTTCCCAAGATCATAACAACTCTTGGAATATGATCTCAACGAAGGAAAAGGAAACTTTAAGACAGTAGATTTAGGAGCCCTTGAAAATACCTTAATCAGGACGCTCTCAAACCTTTCCACCAGCCCGCTGGAGCCACCAACAGGTAACTCCCTAGAAGACAAGGAATGGAGAGGAATTTTTTCCCCCTCTGTCTGCATTCATCAACTTCAGCTCAAGTCTGTTGTTCTTGTTGTTTAGTTGCTAAGTCTTGTGCAACTCTTTTTCGACCCCATAGACTAGCCTGTCTGTCCATGGGATTTCCCAGGGAATACTGGAGTGGGTTGCCATTTCCTTCTCCAGGGGACCTTCCTTACCTAGGAATCGAACCAGCGTCTCCTGCATTGGCACGCAGATTCTGTACCACTGAGCCACCAGGAAAGCCACAGGGCTTTGGAGCCAATTTTAGCCACTAGACTCTTCCTGAACCCTGAACTGAAACTTGTGACTTCATTTCCATCAGAGTGTTCATTTTGTGATGAAATGGAAAGGGACTGGTTAGAATTTGTATGAAATGGGAAATCAAAGCTAGGCAGGAACCCTTGGTCTCATTTTCAGGAAGAAGGCCAAAGTGATCAGTGTTCACCTTACTAGAAGGTAGGATAGCTCATTTGGAAAGGCTTTGTGGTTAAGACTTTATACTCCCAATGCGAGGGGTGTGGATTTGATCCCTGGTTGGGAAACTAAGACCCTACATGCTCCAAAAAAAACATTGAAAAGAACGTTTGAAATGTGGTATCCTTACTTCAAGGATTGTGTTGGAAGAGTTTTATCTTCTAAACTTGCCAGTAGACTTATATTGGAAAAAACTTCTGCTTTTAAACCTGAAGTAACTGGGAAAAATTAGGAAAGAGTGTTTCTGGGTAAGATTTTAGAAGAGTTGTAAAATGCCACATAAAAGAAGAACATGAGTTCACACACTGTACTTCAAACATGAGAAATACCAAGAAATGTGCAGCTGGGTTGGAACTGGACATGGGTGTTAATTTATGCTCTGCTTCTTCTACCAAACAAAGCAGCAATGTTTTTTTTCCACCTCCTATTTACTTGGCCCCAAGTGGTACTAAGATGAGAGTGCCAAATATGTGATGAGTATATTAGGTAATGAATATAAGAACCTCTCGATTCTTAGAAAGAGTGTTTTTAGAATAAATATGTTATATTTAAAAAATAACTATATTCAAGAAAATTATTTGAAATGGACTCCCACATTACTACCACATACATACTCTCTTATCTCTCTTTACTATTTTGACTACCCTTTAGTACTTGTATTGGTTAGTTATTGAGGTGTAACAAACAACCCCCCAAAACACCAAAAAACAGCTGTTTATTAATGTAGCTCATGCACCCATGTGTTAGTAGAGGTCAGCTCCTATAGGTAGGGCACACTGGTGGCTGAGAAAGTTTAGTTGAAACAGCTTCATTCCATGTCTTTTATCCTTCTGGTGGACCATCTCAGGCACCTTCTTCCCATGGCGATGACAGAGGAGCAAGACGGGCATGGGAATCATGGGCTCTGGTGGTCTATATTTTCCTAGAGTCAGGAGCTGGCACCCTGCACTTCTGCCTTATTCTACTGGCCAAATCGGGTCACATGGCCAGACTTGATCAAATCAAGTCACAATGAAAGAAGAAAGCCTAGCTCACTGCAGAAAACACGACAGAGGGAATGGATAGAGGTAGGATAAAGAATTAGTGCCTTGAATGCAGTCAAACACAGCTCTTGTCAACATCTGCTATAGTATTCATTTTACTTATAAGCTTATTCAGAAGTTTGTTTCTGTTCCTGCTAGAATGTAAGCTCCATATGGGCAGGAATTTTTGTCTGCCTTGTTTTTTGCTAATCCTCAAAATCCAAAACAGTGGCACATTTTAGATGCTTAATAAGCCTTGGATGCATCTTTAAGGAGGTTTACATTAATTATTTGGCTTATATATAAAGCCCAAATTCCATGGGACAGAATGTAATTTTATTAGTTTTTCTTCATCTTCTGATTTGAAGATCATGGTTTGCATTTGCTCACAATGGAAACTGCTGTCTGTTTGGTATAAACATTATTTCTTAAGTTTTTAAAAAATTTCCAGATCTCAAAGTAATTTAACATTTGTCTAGAACATATAAATAGGTACTACGTAAAAGTTGATTATTAGATGGGCAGAAAATTTGCAGGAGAGGGAGGATTTTACATATATTTTGGCAAAGAATACATTGATTCTTCCGATGTGGGAATAATACTGATAAAAATTTCAAACTTTCAGAATTTGAATCTGAAAAATAACCAAGATCTTTGAATTTGAAGTGCTCCAAAATGTGTAGGGTACAGGATAGTTGTTGTCATTGTTCAGTCACCAAGTCGTGTCCGACTCTTTGTGACCCCATGGACTGCAGCATGCCAGGCTTCCCTGTCCCTCACCATCTCCTGGAGTCTGCCCAAGTTCATGTCCGTTGAATCGGTCATGCTATCCAACCATCTCATCTTCTGTTGCCCTCTTCTCCTTCTGCCTTCAATCTTACCCAGCATCAGGGTCTTTTCCAATGAGTCAGCTGTTCGCATCAGGTGGCCAAAGTAGGTACAGGATGGTACCTACCCAAATTATCTTTGTTGGCCTTTGGGGGCCATAGAAATTCAATCATTTCTTTCTCCTCTCTACCCCTGTTTACCCTATCCAGGAGACATAGGGCAAAGGAATTTTCTTAAGGTCATGCATTAAAGGGGAATTCCTGTGCAATATATTTTTTTATTTCCTTGAAATTTGAATTTATGCTGCTACTTTTTGACTGTGGCAGATGATGTGGTAGGAGATAAAGTAGGCGTTAATGCTTAGTTACATAAAGGGGAGCTTTACAAATGTCCATACTTAGCAGCAGGTTAATTTGGGACTCCCATGAGAAACCCAGGTCTTGGACACTGGAGTGAGTTTCTGAATTGTCATCATGTCAGGTGACTAACTCCACAGACACGCAGGTGTTAGTTAGACCTGAAAGCTCGATTCTAGGTGGATCTATAATTTTCGAAAAGACAGGAACCTGGAAAGTTAAGGGCTTAGAGACATCCTGAATTATAGTCATTTCTTTCTCTGTCTCCCTCCCAACCCCCTCCTGTCTCCACCCCTTATCCCCTCCACATCACTCAATAGAGTCCCCACAAAATGACTACTGTGTTATAGATCTGTAAGTTGTGAATATTTCTCAGAAAGGTTTTACTTACAAATTTATGATTAGGGGCTTCCCAGGTGGCGTTAGTAGTGATAAAGAATCCACCTGCCAATATAGGAGATTCAGGAGATGCAGGTTCGATCCCTGGGTCAGGAAGATCCTCTGGAGAAGGAAATGGCCACCCACTCCAGTATTCTTGCCTGGGAAGTCCCATGGACAGAGGAACCTGAAAGGGTGCAGCCCATGGGAACGCAAAGAATAGCCTTATTAATAGTGAGTCTCTAAAAGCGCACATGTTGTTTAGTTTACTTTGGTCTTTGGGGTTGCAAATCTGGAATTCAGAGGTTTCTACATTTACAAATAGCAGCCTGGTGAGTTACAGTCCATAGGCTGGCAGAGTCAGCCACGGCTGAAGCGACTTAGCACAGCAGAACACATTCAGCAAACATTCATCAAAGGGCTCCTGGCCGCACCAAACACAGTTAGATGAAGCCCCGGGCCCTGAGAGAGCTCAGAAACGGGAAAGATGTGCAGGTTGATGGGCAGTTTCAGCACAGGGGGATAAAGGCTGTGGTTGGGGAAGACTTGGGGTGGGAGCTCAATGGAGACAAAGGCGGCAAGCTAACACTGGTAACTGAATAATGCCTTCCAATTTGCGGAAGTTCTCTTGCATTCATCTCCTTTCATCCTGGCAGTTTCCCTACCTGCAGGCTGAGACAGGGTATTATCCCCATGATGTTCAGAGGAGGAGACAGCGAGAGCTATACTCTTTGTAAGGGGTGAACCAGCCTTCACACTTGCCTCCCCTAAAGCTCTCTTTCCAGGCTCTTTGCATCTTGGTTTTACTCCTGCCTCCTCTCTCTGCCAGGCTTGCATGGTTTCCAGAAGTGTGGTCTGGTCCAGGCCTTGCATCCCTCAGGTGTAAAATGAGTACATGGTTCAGGATGATTTCTAAGACCTTGCATCCCTTTGTTGTTACTGTTCAGTTGCAGGGTCCTCTCCGACTCTTTGAGACCCTGTGGACTGCAGCACGCCAGGCTTCCTTGTCCTTCGCTGTCTCACGGAGCTTGCTCAAACTCGAGTCCATTGAGTTGATGATGCCATCCAGTCATCTCATCCTCTGTTGCCCCCTTGTCCTCCTGCCCTCAATCTTTCCCAGCATCAGGGTCTTTTCCAATGAGGGTCTTTTGCACCCCTAACTGTCTCAGATTCCAAGAACGGCTGCTTTTGTAGTCAGTCTGAGGAAGTTTGATGTGAAAGTCCTGTTAAGTTTTTATT